TGTTTAATAATGACACAGAGGAGTTTAATCATGTGTCTATAATAAAATTTCAATCCTTTCAATTTGGGGCTTCATGACTCAACGTGGGGTCCAGACCCCAAGTAGTATGGGGACCATGACAATAGCATGATTTATGAATTGAAACACCTGATTAAACTCCTCTGTGTCATTATTAAACAACCGACCCATGGAATTAAACAGATGTGAACAAGGAAACATTATTTTTGCTTCAATATCACGTTTGGAAACAAACCAGCAGCAGCAGGGGTCAGAGCTCAAGTTTACTTACCTTCTGTTGTCATCAATCCGGGTGAATGCACTCGTTTTACACGGATTATTCGCGGACAAACAAACACAGATTACAAATAAATGCCGACACTTCCTTCTGACTCGGATTGAGGAGGAGGAGGGTGAAGATGTGCGCTTTAAAGCCGACCTCCACGTGACCGACGACGCCCACTTTCAACTCCGCTTCTCCGCCCAAAAACAGTCACACTGTAAAAAATAATTTAAGAAGTATGTCATGCCTCCTCTGCACCTCGGCCTCTGAACTGAGATAAACTCTTGGCTCGGATCTCACCTGAGCGCGCACAGGTGAGCGTTTCTTTCCTCCTCCCTCTGCAGACACGAGTTTAATCATCAGTCTGATCCCTGCACGAGCCGAGCACGGCCCTCGCGTGCTTCACTGTGATGTTTGCATCAGATTAAACTCTGTCGACCTGCAACATTTTCACTCTTCTGGAACATCCTCTGACTCAGGGGCCCAACGAGAGGGGGGCAGGGGGGGGGGGGGGGCTCCCCCATAAATCAGTTTCCCCTGAGGTTCAGTTACTAAAATTTCCTCCTAATGGTCCTAACGAAAGTCCAACTTTTTTCTTATGGTCTTGTCTACCTGTATTCATGTTTTCACTGTTAACTGCACTATATAGTAAACAACTAGCCCCATAATTAAAAGTAGTCCCAGGCAAATAAATGCAGGGCCTTTATTTTATGTTGAAACAGAAAGCTCAGAATAAAATCCATCTTAAATGTGCAAACAGAGCCTAATAAGCCTTTGTCTCTTAAACTGAAGAGGTCCAAGAATTGAAGGCGTACACTTAAAGTGGCTCTTTCAGTATTAAAAAAGTGACAACAGAGCAAGCAAAGATTTTTCTCTTCTTTATTTTTTGTTTAGAGGCACCAACCTATAAAATTTTTAGTTTAAAGTAAAACACGTAAGCATCTTCAGAAAATGATAAAAATGTCTCTTTTAGGAAAAAACTGAAACCAGAGCTTTTGACCTTTTCTCGTTTGATTATTCTTTATTTTACTTTTCTTAATGAGCTAAATGGACATGGGATTGTCCTGCCAGTAAATTCAATCTTGGTTGGAGTCAGAGTCATTCTCATGTAAGCTGCATCATCAGTAACATCTGTAGACTCATCAATGGCCAAAGAGGTGCATGGTGCACTCTGAACAGCTGCATCCAGCTGTGCCAGGACATCTGCTAATATTTCTGATTTTCAGCTTGCTGTTGAAGCTGCCATGGGGATTTATTTGATTTTTTTCACACATCTTGTCTTTTTGTGTTCCATCAAATGTCTCAGCAACAGCATAAGCACTCCTTCAGGACTGTCCCTTCACTAAATGGTTTTTTTTTTAATGTTGCCCCAAAATCTACAATACCTTAGAAATAGTCACGTTGACGCCTCATTGAGCGCTGAATCGTAAGTCGATGTAGACGCCATTTTTAATGTGGCGGAACTGCCGGTCATTTAATACAAAGATGGACAGAGCTTCATAAAGCACCGTTCTACAAAGAGTTTGAAGTTTATGCCTGTCATCCACAAAAAGTAATATTTGAAAAACACCCAGGCACCAAAGACAACATGTATAACTTTTAACGTTAAAAGTTACACATTTAAAATGTCGGATGCCGTGACGTACCGCTGCAGCTGGCCAGCCCACTCACCGAGGCGTCTACGCAAATATGTCTGTGGGTACAGTTAACCACACTAATCCTTACAATGCTAACTAAAAAATTTGCTTTACTAAAGCGATAAGCACGTAAAAAAAAATATTGCGGACGCTAATGCTAAACCGCAACCACATAGACGACTGTCAGTCTGCTGCTCCTTCGAGTTGAAGCTGCATTGACCGATCACGTCTTGTCACGTGTACGTAAGCCAATAGCGTGCCTAACAGACAGGAACAATTTGTGAATTTTGTTAGCAGACAAAGTGTGTGAAACCTAATTTAGCGGGAGCCACTTCCATCAAAAGTTTCCAAAGTTAGCAAAAACTCTAATACGCTAAACAAAAACCATCTACTAGTAGCTGTTAGCTGATTAGCAGAACTGTGCCCGCCACTGCTAACTTGTTCGCTAGAAGTTAAATAGAAAAAAAGGTTAAAAAATTATTAGTGAACAGTTCTGATCATTCTTGAATACTGAGCATATTTTTAAGTTTTACCAACCTAACCAAGTTGTGGCAAATACACACTTTTTGTACAATAATTAAAGTTTAATAAAAAAAAGTTTTAAAATATTTTTAAAACTTTGAGCAGTGGATAGATACTTTGTATGTCTGAATTTACAGAATGCTTAAAGTGAACTTTATTATAGTTTAAAACAATCTGGTCATTTTAAAAAGGAAAGTCTGTATTTAAAAGAAACAACAACTTATGAACAGTTGATATCTTACCTGTTGTAGATAGCTCTTTCAGCAACCTCAATTTGGAAAAGTGAAGATTAACTCTGACTAGATTGATGAGCTCATGGCTAATCTGAATCACATAGGTCAAGTGAAGGTCATTTCATGAACCTTTATACCACCATCAGTTTTACACAGGGTTCTGATATTTACAGTTTTATTATTCTGGATTACCATAAATACCTGTAAGGCGACACTAACAATTTAAATAAGAGCATTTTGCATAAGTCACTAAAGACTTGTAGGACTAGTTTAAAAAAAAAAAAAAAAGTAGTAAATGTTGAGCAACATTTTCAGAGAAAGCAGAACAGTAAAGCTGATGTCATTCGCAGAAACCTCTGCTGCTGATGTTCACGGTGACGCAGGAGGCATGCCTGTGTGACAGTATCTGAACAGTGGATCAGCCAACCCTCATTTCTTTATCTGCATACAAAATGGCCACATCTCTTTGACTTCCATCAAAACTTGACTTTATCAGAAATTACTGGCCGAAAAGAAGGGAAAAAAAGGGCGTCACATGCAATGACTTGCTTTTTTTAAATGACATGTGAGTGAACATGTGTCGATAAAAGCAATTCCTCTCATCGTACAACACTTAATTTCAGTCCATTTTCTTTATTTAAATTTTATAAATATCTTGATTTTTCTGGATCCACAGGGCAGCAGAGATATGTTGCATGTAGAAAATAATGATGCTATCCAACAAAGCTGATGGGAGAAAAATGAAAGAATTATTAATGCTCACAGGGTTGTTAACGTCTCAATAATCAAAACACGAAGGTCAGCCATTAAACATGGCGCTATACCTCCAGACAAGAAGTTTGTGGTTCCTGTTAATGTCCTTCCCAAGAAAGGCTGTCATTCCTCTTCTCATGGTGGAACAGCACACCATCTAGCATCTAAAACACAGTTTACATGAGAAGCGGGTAACGGGCGGCGTTTCTCATCCAGAGTACAAATTTGGGGGACTGAAGACATCAGACCTGGATGATTTCACTCAGACGGTTTTCTCCACCTGAGCTGCTCAGTGCCATGTAGGTGCCACACCTGTTCAAGGCCGGCACGATCGCAGCGGGCATCAGAAACGACAGTGGCCTTTTCCCAGGCTCGACTCGGTTATTCTGCAGCGCAAAGGCAAATGTGTGAGCAACCGTTTTAAAGCAGAAACTTATGATGCAGGTTACGGTTCGAGTTCTGCAGAGATGTTGCACCTGGTCGGTCAGAGGCTGCCCACTGCTCTGATTTGGCCAGAAGAAGTCCAGAATGAGGCTGTTGAGGATGACGCCTGACCGAGTCATGATCCTGCTCCCAAACGGCCTGCTCAAGGAGCTGCAAGATCATCAAGATCAGAGAATGTCACCATGTCCTGAAGCACATACCACATATCCTCCTGCTGATCCCCATCAAACTGTCACCTAGCAACAGAGACAACAAGGTCATCTGGTCCCATGACCACGACTTGACTGGACAGCAGCTCCGTCGAGTTGGACGCAGATGGCTGAAAGTCCATCTTCTGGTGCAGCTCTTCAGTGTCATTCTTGCTGTACAGGAACAAAAAGGTAAATAATAAAATAAAAAAAAATTAAAAAAAAAAAGGACAAAATGTCAGACTCCAAAGGTAAAAGTTGAGGTTTAGACTTCATTTGGACACACTGGCTCAAGCTTTCATGTGCATTTTTCTCTTTTGACTGACTTCTTAATATACTGCATTTAAAAATCAAAGAACAGCAACAGTCAAGCTTGCAAAAGGTGTTAGCATTGTTGCTTAATTATGATAAGGTTTTAAACCCATCTGCATAGATTTGGTTTTCTGGTGCATCTTAGTGAAATGGTCATTCTAAGTTGCCTGAAGCTTTAGGGGCAAGTGGACTATTTCAGTCTCATCTCTGCAATCATGCTCCCATGACACCCGGACCTGGAGCAGCCTACAATAGTCAGATGGAAGAACAGTAAAAACTATAAATATCTGAATTACAACATGCAGTTCTTTTACATTTGACTTTTTAATTGTAAAAAAAAAAAAAAAAAGGATAAGTCGTGTAAGAACCTAGATCAAATGTTAAGTCACTATAGTGTCAGCTGAAAGACACACCTGTGCCTCAGACTCCCTGACAGGACTCTTCTTGAGACAGGCAGACAGGACTTCTTTACATATCTTGCACTGATTTTTGTAGAAGATAAGACAAGTTTCAATTTCTGAGCTCAGATAGAAAAGAAGCCCATGAGCACACTGCACTCTGGAGTACAGCCGTGAACAGCCTGTTTCATGTACATCCAATAAATAGTGGGGAAAAAAAGAATGGAAAACATTTTGGAAAGTTTGGCCAGCTCAAACGTTAGTGAGTGAAACATCATGGCTGAACATTCTGTGGAAAAATGTCAAAAATCATAACATAACTAATGAAAAAAAAAAAACATTAAAATGTCAAAAGTTCGGAGATGGATGGTTGGACGTTCTGTGACCGGTTTAAGTGTCGATGTTTCTACTGAGCCAGAACAGAGCGCTGGATTTAAAATTTATTCATTCCCCCCCCCACTCATTTATTCAGAATCCCATCATTTTATCTGGATTATTTTAAGCGTTTGGTGAATTTCACACCAGAAGTCATAGTGTGCTGTTCCTAACTGATTTGCACGTTGATTTATTTTTTATTTGCATTTTCCCCAGGGCAGCAGAACTAATAGTAAATCCAAAATCTTTATGAACAATTGATTTAAAAAAAAAAAAAAAGTTATAGGAGTGTTCAATGATCCTCAGCTGCTCAGCTGCATAACAATTAAAAAAAAAAAAATTAAAGTGTTTTTTTACCTCATCATGGCAGAAAGAAGCTCAGACACAGAGGAGCTGGTTTCAGGGTCACCCAGTCTATGAGCCATGCTCAAAGCTGCTGTCAAAGCCTGAAGGGACAAAAACTGTAGTTCAGTTCAGTTTATATAGCACCAAAGCAGAAGTCGTCTCAGGTCACTACAAAAACATTAATCCATTTTAAAATTCCAATTAATAAATGTTATCCAAGGAAACCAGCAGATTGCATCAAATCTTCACTTTGTCATTGTTTAAGCACATAGAGCTCCACATTTCACAGATTCAGAAGGGGAGGTTCACATGTTAGTCCAGTACCTCACTGATCCAGTGGTATGTTTGATTTTCTGTAACATTATTCTCCCCCAGATGAAAGCCCTCCAACAGGTTGAGAGCTGCTATCAGAGCTGCCCCAGCAGATGGTGGAGGAGGAACCTTAATTATGAACTCTAAAACAAGAAGTGTTCGATTAGAGGAAAGCATCAAGCATGTGAATAAGGTTTTATTCAAATGAAGCCTTACGGTTGTACAGGCCTTCAAGTGGTTGTTGCACCTCTGCACTGTAGTTCTGGAGGTCCCCTCTGCTCAGGACGCCTCCATTTGCTCGCACCTTTGCGTGGAAAGAACATTACATCCTGCAGTGACATCAAACCAAGTCATCTGTGAACTACCTCATCTTCCAGCTCCTGTGATATATTCCCATGGTAGAAACTGAAAAGACCAGCCTCCATGATGTCAGCCACACCGGGCATCCTCAGATACGAGCCAGGACTCAGAGCCTGGCCGTTTGGGAGGAAAAGATCCCTGAAACGTCCCGCGGGCTGCTCTCCTGCCTGCGATATTGCAGCAGCTGTAGACAAAGCCAAATAACCCGGGTCCTTGAACGTTACACTCGGATGTAAGGGTAACATTTTAAAGGACAGTTTGACACACCGAGGCTCTGAGAAACATTGAATCCTTCTCTGGCTACAGTTGCAACTCTGCTGACGACATCCCCCCACGGCAAACTGCAAAGAAATATTAGAATTCATGTCAGTCTACAAGACTAAATACCAGAAACAATATAATCTGAGCTCTTACCCTCCATACAGGTCGTGAGCATGGTGCAACCCCATGAGCATACCTGGCACTCCCACAAGTAGACCTGCCTAAAAACACATTTTTACAAACTAAACAAAAGAAAATAGAAAACACGCTCTGCACATCTGGATTACCTTAATTTCAGAAACATTTTGCAGCATTTCTTCCCTCAGACCTTTTGGTGCCGACCCCTGAAAGTTGATCGCCCTAGTTTCATTCTGACGGATTTTATGAATCAGCATCACTCCTCCTCTACAGACCGACAACGATGGAGATTTCATGATCAGCTGCTGTGCGTTCACAGAAGTTACAGCTAAGAGTTAGAGACACATACCCACCGACGCCCGACACGTGTGGATGCACAACACCCAAGCAAAGGCTGCCAGCGATGGCTGCATCCACACTGGATCCTCCATCGCGAAGGACCCTCACGCTGAGTTCTGTGCAGAGCTCGTCATCCGACGTCACTCCTTTGATGGAGACCTGTGAAGCAGCTGTGAGGAGGAATGTTGCAGTCAAGGGTGGACCTACAAACTTCCTGACATACCTGAGTTGCATCCAGGTGAATCTCCAAGACCAAAGCAACGGTCACTCCAATGGCAAGGATTGTGCAAATAGCGTATATGTGGACTGGCTGGTCCTGGCTGCAGCGGCCCTCATCTGGTTCTTTGACTTTGGATGAGCTCTGGTCCAACAAACCTGAGCTATCAGAAGTCAGCCCGTTCAACTGAACGACCTCTGTAGCAGCAGGAAATTACATTTACATTTAGTTTAATGAACATTTAGCCAGTTTGAGACTCAAATCTTGCTTCAATCAATTGTGCCGTTTCCTCTCACCGTTGTTTTTGTTCAGGTCACAGGTGAAGCCGTTTGTTGGACAATCGTCAGTCGACTCAGACGGGTTTTCAAAACTCTTGTAATTAGATAAAAACTCCTGTTTGAGTTTTGTTCCCACAGAAGCGTCCATGGTTGCTGTGCTCCAGCACTGAGCTCACTCAAGAAGAGCGCCCGTCTTCCATAAAGCACACTAATGAACACAGCAGGTGCAATTACCTCCAAACCAGTGACATCAGCATCTGAGGTCATGAGCAGTTCAATGTCATCGGGACATAGGAAACAGACAAACTTTTCTTTTTTTAAATATTTTTTATTAAAGTGTTTTAAAGTTAGCATAAATAACACAAAGCACACACATCTTTATCTCAAAGGTTCAAGGTTACGTTGCATAGGCAGTTTTTTGTCTTCGACATGTGTATGTGAACATGGGAACATACTGAATGTCATGCATGACGTGAACGTCTCCATGTTAATTCAGATTAAATAAGAGTTCAAACTAAAACAGCTGCCTATTAATTCATAACATGATGAATGTGTCAGAGCATCTTAAATCAGCTGCCTGTGTTTCTCTAACGTCTGAATCTAATCAAGGCCAGCAGAGGAGCTTCAGTGGCCGAGGCTGCGGTGAGCCGGCTGCTGGAGGTGGAAGGAGGTGTGCTGGACTCCTTGGCGTGCACGATTTTGGCGTTGGATGGCGTTGCGGGACACGGGGTGTTGGACAGGCCAGGGCTTGGTCTTCTGGGTGCACCGTGTCAGCTCTGTCAAAGCGATGGACGAAGAGACGGCTCTGCTGGTTGTAGAGCTGCTGGGAGAAGCTGAAGACTCTGCAGCCAACAAGCTGGACAGAAACAACAGAGACAAAAGCAAAGATTTCTGTTTTACAAGTTTTAAACTTAACATTCGAAGAGAAGGGCTGTCCTGCCTGTCTCACCTGTCTCTCTCCATGTTTGTGGCTGTGTCTCTGTGAGGAGCAGAGTCAGACTGTTGATGGTTAGCTGTCAGAAGATCCTGGTTTTCAGATGAAGCTGCCTCTGAGAAAACAAGCAGACCTCCATCACCCAACTCTTCAGTGGACTCTAAATACTGTAGCTCATTTGGTGATTTATAAAAACTAAACATTCAGATCTCCTGCTCTGACTGAACAAATGTACTTACTGTAGACGTAAAATTAAAAACATGTTTATCTGTTAAATCTAATATTTTTCCTAAAGTTAGAATGATTTAGCTATGGAAGCCCATTTCCGTCATGAAAGAAAAAATAAAAACCCAACAGGAAGTCGTAATTTCAACTTTAAAAGTCATAATTATGGGAATAAAAGTCATGATTTCAATCCAACATTTTTCAGTCAGGTCATCTGGACAGTTTCTTTTTTTGTGCTGAAACGTTTCGCCTTCGATCCGGAAGGCTTCATCAGTCAAGGAAACACACAACAAAACTGATTCTTCCTCCAACAGCTTACGCCAAAGTGGAACAAACCAGTTCTGCTTGTGATAAGATGGTCTCTTTGGTACACCCCTCCTCCATTGCCGGCCCTCTTCCTTGTTGACAGTCTTGTCAAACTGGTTGAAAACAACAAAGTCCATGCTCAATAATCCAGGTATAAAATCCAACATTTTTCAGTCAGTCAGTCAGTCAGGATAATTGAGCATGGACTTTGTTATCATGATTTCGAGTTTTAAAGTCATAATATGGACTTTTCTAATTTAACTTTGAAGTTTGTCCCTTGCTGGACACCATGACTCTACAGGGATGCAACTTCCTGTCAGACACTGGTAGTTTTCCTGCATAGCACATGGATTCATTCATTCAATGTATGTCCCTCTGCCTTCAAACATCAATCCTTTTAAATAAAGGTATGTAATGTATACATCTTTTCATCGTCACTTTATATAGCATTTAGTATCGAAGCCCATTTCCACTATGAAATAAAAACCCAACAGGAAGTCATAATTGAGTTTTACGGTCATAATTACAAGAATAAAAGTCATAATTACAACTTTTAAAGTCATAATTACGAGAATAAAAGTCATAATTATGACTTTTATTCTCGTAATTATGACTTTAAATGTCAAAATTATTATGACTTCCTGTTAAATGTCAAAATTATTATGACTTCCTGTTGGGCTTTTAGTTTTTCTTTCATGGTGGAAACAGGCTTCCATATTTATCAGCAGATTTTCAGATTATGATTTCAAATATAAATCCTCGTAACCATTAATCACGGTGCACGTAGAAGATCTGCCGGTGTAAAAATATGATATCGATGACGCCAAACCTTGATGAGGAACAACAAGCCATCCTTCATCTACCACTTCTCCAGACTTCACATCTTCAGAAACCTCCTCTTCTCCCCCAAAGAGAAGACGGGTGAGTCTTTTGAACATGACGGCTGGCTGGTTCCTGTCTGGATTTCCTTCTTGAAAAATTTAAAATCCTACAAAAACAAAACACCTTTAGTTGTAGAAAACAAGAAAATACAGCAGCTGATTGCGTCCCACACAGACTAAAAATCTAGTCTGAGTCTCAGGAGGGGTGATACAATGACAGCCTTTCTTTATATTATTGTTCAAACTTTGAGCCGGTCCTGTCAGCTGACTGGGATGGCCAATGACATTTCTGATTCTCTAAAGGGTTGAAAAAAAAAAAAGGCTGCCAACACCCCCAGACTTTCATTGTTGTGTCCATCTGTTTCTAAATGAGTGGAGGAGGGGCTTTTATTAAACAAGCCTGCAACACAGCAATACTTTTATCTATGTTATTTTCTGCAGGATTTCTCAATGACGCCACAAATGCTGCGATTTAAACTATTTAAGATTAGATTAGTTGGTCCCAAAATGGGATAAGGAACATCTGCATCTACTGAGCTAGTCAACATGTATTGTTTATGGCTATTTTAAAATCTGGATAATTATTTTTGTACAGTAAAATCTCAATACATCACTCCTGACACGTAAAAAAAGAAGGTATATCTGGAAAAAATATATATACATAAGGCTAAACTTTGTTTGAATATTTGTATGCATGCAGTTTTGTTTCTATTTTTAATAAGTTGAACAGTAGTTTTCTCACCTTTGGTTGAATTGAAACTCGTTTTTTAGTTTGACTCGAAGACCTCTGCGGCGTTTCACTGTAAAGTTATTTTTTGACCTCCTCTTGTATGAATTTACGCTGATGTATTTAATATTTTCAAATTTTCAACCGAACTCTCGGAACATAGTGGCTCCGCCCCTTTTAACTCCACCCACTCACAGCAAAGAACCAATCAGAAGCCTCAAACTGCTCGCTCTTTGAGTTGAGTTGTCAAAGATGATTTTTGTCAAGAGAAGTACCTTTATGTAAGTTTTCATTGCGGCTTGACAATATTTTAGGTAAATTTTGTTAGATATGTTAAGTAGACGAAGGCTTTATTAAAGCATGTCGCTTGTGTTTCGGTGCTGTATTCACAGGAAAATTTAATATTAGATTTGACTCGTTTCTCACCGTCTATCAGCGTCTTTAAACGAACATTTTACATCTTGCCATCTGCACTTCCCATTTTTTTTTAGTTTCAGCTCCGCCCACATGAATTTCAAAGTTATTTTTTTATAATTATACTTTTGTCTTTTTGAGCACAAAATCCACACCTAAAATTTAAATGGTGCCAAGTTATTTTATTTCAACTTCTCAAATTCTTTTGTTTAACTTTTATTTTGGCCACTAATTTAGAAGTTATTTGTGGGTTTTATTAACATTTTCTACGCAGACTGATGAGACAAAGCATTTATTTATTTATTGGTTTCTAAACGGGCAGCATGGTGGCGCAACTGGTAGAGCTGCTGCCTCTCAGCGAGCAGGTCCCTGGTTCAAACCCCGGTCCAGGGGCCTTTCTGGGTGGAGTTTGCATGTTCTCTCCGTGCATGCGTGGGTTTTCTCCGGGTACTCCGGTTTCCTCCCACAGACCAAAAACATGCATGTTAGGCTGATTGGTAACTCTAAATTGTCCCTAGGTGTGAGTGAGAGAGTGAATGGTTGTTTGTCTCGTTTGTCTCTATGTGGCCCTGTGATGGACTTGCGATCCGTCCAGGGTGTACCCCGCCCCTCGCACAGTGATTGCTGGACATGGGCACCAGCGACCCCCGTGACCCAAAATGGAATAAGCGGGTAAAGAAAATGGATGGATGGATGGTTTCTAAACGCCTCTTGTGGACACTATTATAACTTTTACAGCAGTTATATGTAGCATCTAATTTAAACGTCGGTCTCAGTGAGTCACATATGGTCTTTTTACACAAAGTTGCGTTGAAACACATGCTCTGAAATCATCATGAAGTTCACAGACATAATCAAAGCGAAGCTCCTCAGAACTCCTGCTGTTGTCAGGTTTGCGCCTCTTTAATGTTTTCACCTGGGCTACAGCGCCATCTAGTGTACGTGCGGTAGAAACTCAATTAAAATCATATTAACTCTGTCCAGCAGAGGGCGCAGTTACTCCTCGGAAGCTGCCTCCACTTCTAAACGCGTTTAAATGAACCCTCACTGCTTTAACTCCAGTTAATACAAACAAAAAAACAAAAAAACACCACAATTGGAGCCAAACAGAGAAAAGCAGAATATTAAATAAAAGTGATTTCACTTATTACCACTTTAAAAACTTTTGAAATTCACCCTAGAGTCCTGATTTTAGTATTTTTGATAATGCGTTTCTTCAGAGGAATAACTTATAGGACAAAAACAATTATTTGTAAAAAAAAATAAAAATAATAAATCTCAGTATTCTGTCCGCGTATTTTGGACCAAGTGCGTCACTGTCCCTTGTGTTTGGGTTTACCTAAAGTTTTTAAAGTGTCTTCAGCTGCTCAGGACCGACGGATCCTTGTGCGCTCAGGGTTTGGTGGAGTGTGAGCGCGCAGTCTTCTTCCCAAACACTTGAGCAGTGATATGGATGTGGGGAGGGCCCTGAGGGCGAGCACACCCCTGCTGCCTGTGTGTCAGAGGATTTCAGAATAGAGACCAGCACTGGAGCTGTACAAATCACTCCGTCGGCTGAAGTCCACATAAACACTTGTGGACCACAGGGAGGATATTTCTCGGTCTTTTTTCCTTCAGAGGACTGACGGAGGAAACTGCGCGTCGTCTCCACAGGCTCGTTTTACGCGCACATATTTTCGCCAAAAAAGGACAATGCCTCGTTCTTTCCTGGTTAAAAAGTATTTCGCAAAACAAAAACCAAACTACAGTGAACTGGAATGTCAGAATGGTGAGTCTCAAAGTTGTTTATTGCCTAAATAATCTTTTCTTTTTTTTTTTTAACTCCGTTGACACAACTGTAAGGAGGTAAAACGCCTGTTTGATTTATTTGAAATCAAGTCGAGCAACATGTTCTGAATCGGACTGGGTCCAGTCAGGCTCGGGGCCCGTTAGATGAAGGCAGACAGAGCTCCATTCATGGTGCACGCTCTTGTGAATACGTGGGAGGAAACGGCCCCTGCAACTTTCCCATATGGCTCTCATTTTATGCTCAGTCAGTGCTGAGAACATTTGTACACAACAAGCGCAGCACCGAGTGTGCAGCATGAGTTTCAGCTGTTGAACTGGTTAATATTGACCTGGTTAATATTTGTGTTGTGTTGGATTATGCAGCCTTTAACACCCCCCCCCCCCCCCTCTCTTTCAGACACCTCAGTGGAGAGGTTTCCTTTGGCTGAGCTCTCCTCAGCAGACGCCACCTTCTCTGCCACCTGCTTCACCACAGGTCTGGTGTGGGACCTGAGCGTCCTCCCCGCCCTCTACCTGCCCTCCTCCCAGTCAGAGCCGTCTGGGGCCCCGGGGCCCCTGGACCTCAGCTCCCCCTGCAGCCTCAGCAGCAGCGCCAGCAGCAGTGGCGAAGAAGATGAAGGGCCCACATCAGACCCCCCCAGCCCCGAACCTGTGCACACGTACGCCCCTCGCCAGCGGATGAAGTGCACCGGCGTCATGGCTCACATCAGCACCCCGGAGGAGGAGGAGAGAGAAGCCCCCGTCACAGCGGCCCGGCCGGCCTTCCTCTGCAAACACTGCCCCAAGGAGTACACCAGCCTGGGGGCTCTGAAGATGCACATCCGCTCACACACCCTGCCCTGTGTTTGCACCACCTGCGGGAAGGCTTTCTCCAGGCCGTGGCTGCTGCGGGGCCACATCCGCACACACACAGGTGAGACCTCAGAACATGTGACACACTTCACATCTTCACCGCCATCGATTCCTGGATGTTGTGAGTCAGCAGACCCTCCCTCCTCATCTGGGCACAACAATCCACCTGATGAAGTCAACACTTGATTATCACACAGGGAAGCCTCCTGTGGACTCAGTACTCATTGATGTGTTTAATGTCTCAGTGACAATCACTTGTCGGCTAATTATCTTATCAGGACTGCAGCTGAATGGGGGACAGGGAGGGACAAAAAGGCTCAAAGAATGCGTGGGGGCCCGCTGCTATCACGGAGCTCTCAGTACCTGCAGCAACTTGTTAGCAGGCTAATCTCATTTGGTTCTGATTAAATCATGCTAATTCAGTCAGGCTCTGACCCCAGCACCATGTGATTCTTCATTATCTTCACACTATGTGTGTGTGTGTGTGTGTGTGTGTGTGTGTGTGTGTTTGTGTACGTGCATGTGTGAGGTGTTAATGGAGGCTCCTGCTCCCTCTGAGCAGACATTATAGATGCTCATTTTATTCTCATCAATACCGAACAAAACATCTTCAAGTGAGAAACTGTTTTTCTCCATACTAACAGTTGATGTGTCTTCAGCTGCTGAAACAGCCGAAGTGATGTGTCTTCAGCTGCTGAAACAGCCGAATTGACTTGACGTAGGTCTGATGTGAAAGCGGGCCGGTCCAGCAGAGCTTTTGTAAAAGCTGCATGTGTTTTAATGCTGATCCTTGATCCCAGATATTTAATCTAAGCAGCTGTTTTACTCGTTTCTCTTTACTTTTCGTGTTCAGCAGCACGTTCACGCTCACATAGTGAACGGAGTGTCTTTTCTGACGCGCTACGCTTCTCTGGTTCGGCCATATTTTATTTACCTACACAGACCAGCCTGATGTAGGTCGGTCACATGTCTCCAGCTTCCACGTGGCTTCTGGTGAAGTCAGACATGTTTTGTTTACGTTGAGTGCGTACCTGCGTTTTCACATTGTATATCTGGAAAACTATTGGCGTAAACTTTTCCAAACTGCACCATGTGACAGAGTTCGGGGTAACTTTTTTTTTACTACTTTGCGATGAGGTAAAAAAATAAATATCTCCATGTTGTTTTTTTTCCTGTCCAGGCGAGCGTCCGTTCTCCTGCCCCCACTGCAACCGGGCCTTCGCCGACCGCTCCAACCTGCGGGCTCACCTGCAGACCCACGCGGAGGTGAAGAAGTACCAGTGTAGCGTCTGCTCTCGCACCTTCAGCCGCATGTCGCTGCTGCAGAAGCACAGCTCCTCGGGGTGCTGCTCCACCTCAGCATGAGATGGAAGGAGGGGTGGGGGAGCTAAGAGAAGCTCGGAGCAGTGGAGAACTTCCAGCTTTGGACGAGAGGAGCGGTCCACACAATCCTTGTTAGCCTGTCAAAGGCCCACAAATCCACAAAGACCATGACTTTTTTTGATTTAAGAGACCTGGAGGGAATCGAACCTCATCATGGATCTGACTTCACGAACCTCTTCTCTTCTCTGTTCCATCATAAAACTGTTGAAGCTCTTCTTTTTAAAGTTTTCGAAGCTGGACCACCTGAACTGAGCTTAAAACCAGCCTCTCTCTTGCTATTGTGCTCATTCCAAAACAACAAATCTGTTGTGAACTCTCTGGGGTTAGAGGCGTCTTTTCCTGTCTCTGTCCTGGAGCCGGGCAGCTCAGGATCACCGAGCAGACACAGCTGCTCAGAGGTAGGGGTGCGTGGGTGGGGTAAATCTCTTGGCGTGTCACAAATCACACACACTCGCACACACACACACAAAAGCAAGTGCACACGCAGCTGTCCCTGGCGCTGCAGTGCAGATAGATGAGGTGCTAACAGGTGCTGCAGCCGTGACCTTCGCCGCTCCACAGCAGGTGACTCCTGATGCCCTTGGTTTGTGAGAAGAAAGAGGAAACATGTCATCACAGAAGAATGGCACCAGTTAGTGTGTGTGTTTCACCAGCAGGGATCATTTTAAGCCTCTGTTTTGACTAAACCACAACCTTTGCTTTAATCTGATGAGTTTCAAAGATAGAAAAAGCTGCTTTCCAAAGACGGAGCCCTGTTCAGCTCCGCTGCCACATGAACCAAAATGAAAGCCATGCACTCAGTTACCGCAGTATTCAGGAAGCCAGCCAAAGCCATAGGACCTACATGAATGTGCCTTGAAATGTTTTATTTTTACCACCAAAACGTGCCTTTTTTTTTTTTTTTTTTACCTCATTAGTAGCTTTTAAAGTGGATTCAGTATTAGCAGAACGTGAGCTTTTAAAGGACCAGGACCAAAGATTTGAGCAGTTTACACCACGAGAACAGGACGATGTGATCAAACATGAACTTTTAACTTCCAGAAATATTTTATGGCTTTTTTTTTTTCAGTGCAATGTGCAGATGATGTGTGTTTTCCTTTGTTTTTATTTTATACCATGCTTGTGTGTTCACCCTTTGCCACCTGTATGAAATTCAAAATGCATTTTCATTCAATAAAGTAATTTATGTTTATTAAAAGTTGCCGTGGTCGTTTACTCCAGCGCAACGAGATAAAACGCAACCGTTTGATTCCTGCGTTGGCTTTGAATGAAGTTCACAAACGTCTGTTTGATCATTAACTGGGAAACCCTCTTCTGGATTGTATAATTCTCTGCGGGGAGTGAAGCGGCTCATTGTGTTGAAACAAGGCTGCAGGTGAGCACATGATGGGCAGGAACAACCGAATGCACCTGCTTCCACTTTCCACCTGCCGTGCACTTCTCTCTGAGCAAACAGTCAGGATATGCAAATGTGAGCGAGCGCAGGTGAAGTCCGAGGACTTCCCTTCAGTGTTCTGTCCATGTCCACCTCTTGAGCGGAGCAGAAAGTTGAATGTATGAGTGATTGCTGAGTACATATTTTGCTCATCATTTCCTCCTTCCTAGACGGTGAGTCAAACGTGTCCAGACTGGAGCTGGAGGTTCCCATGGCTCCTCTCTGCAGGCCGTCTGTCAGTGGGTTAGTCTGCGTGGGCTGAGGCCCAGAGCTCTGAGGTAAACTGTTCCACAGAACCGTTCCTGATTTCCTTTGACTCAGAGAAATGTGCTCCCAGCTTCAGCAGCGCCGCGTTGTCTCACCTCAGCACACACGAGGTTTCTTTTAGACGCCGTAAAACTCATCTGTGCAGAAACTCGAAACCATGTCTTCACAGGGTTTCTGCCTGGCTCCATGTTTTGCACTTTACCCACAATGCTTTGGGGTTATCGCTAAGCTGTGGAAGCCCAGGACTGATCTGATTATATCAGCTGTGATGTTGTGAAGAAAGGATCTTAGCTCTGTTAGCAAAAATAAATTAAAGACAGAGCATTCCTTAAAGTGACACGAGCCTTCCCTGTCAGAGTTTTGCTTCATCTCATGTGCAAGGATTCAAGGTTCTTTACCGTCGTTCCACCACATGTGGTGCATGTGGTGGAACGACATTGTGTACACAGGGTCCCAGTTACATCCAACAAAAGTATAAAATATAAAAGAAAAACAGTAATAAGATCTAAGATTTGAACTAAGAAAAATATTAACTTGTGCAACAATGAAAGAGAAGTCATTCCTTACGTGATACTGTGACATGTCTCCCTCAGAGTATGTGCTGAGAATGACTCTCAGCTACTACCACACCAAACTGTAGATCAGTGTTTGTTAAATAGACCAAGTTTCAGTCACTGTCTCATGTCAGTCAGCTGTAAATCAGTTTTACATTCAATGATTATGAAGTTTCATTAAAATACATCCAGTGGTTTATGAGATATTTTGCTAACAGACTAAGTTGAGTACAAACACTTAAAAGTTAAGTATTAAACATCCTAAATACTAACACGTCAGTCTCCAAGTCCATATCAGTAAAACTGACTGAGTTGTATTTTGTGTCTCTCTCAGATCAGTTGGACGTGGCAGCCATCTTGAATCTGGTTGATTCATAAAGTTAAGCATTTTATTCTGAAGGACTTTAGAAAAGAAGACATTAAAAAGATCAGAACTAGTTCTATATCATTTCCTGTTCAATGAAATTCAATTTAAAATCTTTAATAGAATTGATCCTACTAAGGAATTTCTAAGGACAAAATTTAATATGGACACTGGGAGTTGTGGTTTTTGTGAGACAGAGAACCTGGAACATCTTTTGGTTAATTGCATGAGAGTTCAGAAGTTTTGGCTTGATTTTAAAATGTGGATCCAATCCAAAGGGATTCAACTTTCTACTCTCAGTTCAAAAGAAATCTAATTTGGGTTCATTAATAAGATTGGAAGTAATGAATATACTATCAATAATCTGATTATATTAGCTAAACATTACGTTCATAAATGCTGTTTTTTCAAATGTAAACCAAACATGAACCACTGGAAGAACGAGCTAAAGTCCTATGCAAAATCTTTAAAATATGTAAATGAAAAAAATGCTGGTAAATTTCTTAGTTTCTTGGTTAATTTCAATTTCCACCTTTCTATTTAATTTTTTCTTTCTTGTTTGTTTTATTTCCACTATGTTATGAATCACCTTTTGTAACTTTCTATTGTAAGAATTGGTACTTTTTGTTTTGTAGTGTAAATTAATAAACAAAGTTAAAAAAAAAGTTAATAATTTTATATCCATTCTGAGAGTGTCATTGAAATGTATTGGTTCATGAGATATTTTGCTAACAGACAGACGAACCATGAATCTACATTTCTTTCTAAAGCTTCCTTCTTGATTCACCATCACTTTAAATATTTTCCTGATTTCTGCGGCGAAACCAGCTGAGCCGTGATCTCCTCTTCCCTCCTGGTTCCTAACGCGCTCCGTGTTTCTTTAAAAACCCTTTCGTCACGTCTAAGTGGTAAAATTTGAACATTTTAGTGGGGGGATGTGATGTGCCACAGCTCGTAACTTTTTCTGTCTTCTTGCAGAGGAACTAAAAACACATGCTCCCCGTCTTGTTTCCTGGGGAGAGCGCGGGGCCTGGATGTGAAATGTGAGAGCGTTTTCCTGCTGTGTGCTGTACAGTGCCAGAACACTCACTGTAATTTACCAAAAGTGGCTGCTATTTATGCCATAAAGCATGTGTTTAACATTCCTCAACCCCACTGTGTTTGTGTATCCCTCGCTCGCTCTCTCCCACTCACTCTCTGCCTGCCTCTCCACCGCCTGCTTCTATTTGTGTGTGTGTTCAGTGGAAACGGTCCCTTCAGAGCTGCAGCCCTTTCCCTCTTCACAGGAGGATCATCTCTCCCCCTCGGAGACGAGGCTGACAGGAAGTGGGAGTTTACATTGGCCCACTTTACCCAGAAAGAGCAGGCCTTGGTAGAAGAGCTGCAGAGATCAAGTGCTTGGTCTGCTGCTGCACTTTGCCACCACCAGAGCCATGATCCCCCCCCCCAGCTCAGCTGTTCCACCCTCATGGCTGCTCTCCCAGCCCAGCATTCAGGGTGGAGCTGGGTGGCCAGAAATTAAAAAGTGTCCTTCAGTGCAGCAGCAGCGAGGGCTCTCGGTCTGTGGGACAGGAAGGAGCCTGTCAGCGTCTCGTAAACACAGCTCATCCTGCGCTCATGACACAGAAGGTCTGGAGAGAGAGAGAGCGCTCCCAGGAAAAGGCCGTCAGACCCCCTGCAGCTGCAGACGGTTGGGCTGATGCAGCTCAGCAGAAATCATGACGGCGATGCTGCGTATCTACATCCTCAGAGTCCTTATTACTATTGCAATGGTTTATTATCTGGGGGTCCAAAAACTTCTTTAAAACGTCTTCAGTTGATCCAAAATGCTGCTGCCAGAGTCTTAACTGGAGTTAATGGGAGAGATCTTATCTCTCCAGTTTTAGCTTCTCTCTATTGACTCCCTGTCAAATCCAGAATAGGATTCAAAATCTTACTTCTAACCTACAAAGCTCTCAACAACTTAGCTCCATCTTATATTTGAGCTCTTACTGTTCCATATTTTCCTAACAGAGCACTTTGCTCTCAGACTGCAGGTTTACTCGTGGACCCTAGAGTTTCCAAAAGCAGAATGGGAGGAAGATCTTTCAGTTATCAGGCTCCTCTCTTGTGGAACCAACTTCCAGTTTCTGTCTGACACGTTGTCCAGTTTTAAAACTGGGATTAAGAATTTCCTTTTTGATAAATCCTATAGTTAGGGTTGGCTTGTTATGCTGCTATAGGATTAGACTACTAGAGGACAAATTGACCTCATGTCCTTAAATGATTTGCTAAAATTAAATAGTTTTCACTTGCTAATATTTATATCTTAACATGTGATTCTCAACCTGCCATTGTGTATCTGTTCCTACCAAACCCAGCTGGTCGAAGCAGCTTGTCCTGAGCCTGGTTCTGCTAAAGGTTTCTTCCTCATGAGGGAGTTTTTTCTTTCCACTGTCGCCTTCATGCTTGCTCAAGATGAGAGTTCTGTGATGAAGTTAAACTCAAAGCAGTCTGCTTCTCAGATAAATAATGTTAAATTATTATTTTTATACATGAA